CATCCTTTTATTATATTATTTATAACATCATGTAATAATAATATAATAAAAAGAATGCGACAATTATTAATAATTTGTCCCAGCCAAAACCCATTTCTCTAAATCCTACAGAGTCAGACATTTGACATAGTTATTATGTACTTATGTTAGAACAAAAATTATAATCCATGATAATTGACGTAATTTAAACATAAACGTACTCGTTAATCACGTGATTACCAAACCGGACATCTTCTTTACCGTTATTATTTTCTTTCTTCTTTTTACTTATATTATCTATACTAATTATATCTCTTCTCTAAAGTGCGTCAAATCTTGATCTTCAATCAAACTCCAGGCGTGTTCGTGGGATCTAATTACAGTATAGCGTCATTTTTCTTTAACATAAAAAGGGGTCGGTGTAGCAAAAAATCGTAGTTTTGTAGGCCACTTAAAAAGGAAAAGCGTATAGTATACTTAAACATATAAAATTTTTTTTTTTAAAAAAAAGCGTTTAGTATACATATGTATAAAAAAAATTTGAGTCGGGTTATACTAATTTGTATACTACTGTATTTTATATAGACATATGAATTTTATCGATGGCTTGTCTACGTGGTATATGATTATAATTAATTTAATCAGGGTCGGCTAATAAGAAAATTAATTTAATTGATTTAACCATGTTGCAATCGATAAATTATTCAATAATGAGCGCTGGTACATAATAACCAATATACAGTATATAGATTTTATTCAAATCGAAAAATAGATAATCGCTCATCCAGCCTTATACAATTATATATTATTTAGCGGGGTTAAACACTACGGGTTCTTTATTGTAAATCCAATTCAAGAGAGCCTTCGTTTGAAATACAGTTTTCTTTAATGAATATATAGCTCTTAAAATTAATTATATGTACATCTAGTGATGAGCCTCATGAATTATTAATTATTAATAATTAATTAGCAGAGTTATTAATTAAAAACTACTTAATAAGTATGGCGCAGCCAAATGAAAAATTGTACATATCGATATAGAAAATATCATTAATATTCTATCGGTGTTTAAAATTATTAATAATTGTCGCATTCTTTTTATTATATTATTATTACATGATGTTATAAATAATATAATAAAAGGATGCGACAATTACTCATGAATAATTATGTAATTTTTAACAGTTGCCAAAATTATTAAATATTATTAACTTTATTAACTAATTATTAATTTTTTTTATTAACTAAGAACTCGCTGGTCCCATCACTATGTACTGTACATAGTATCAAAAGCTATTCATTTTTTTTTTACTCACTTATGCCATTCTTTATATTAATTTTTTATGCTTCGCTTTGCTACCTTATACTTTTTTATTTTTAATTAATCACTGATTTATCACGATCTTACTTCCGATCATCTACGATCATCCCTAGCACTTATATCACGTGAAATGTTCGCTTCACATTTTCGTCGCACAGGTATACTTATAAGTATGACCGTTTTCATACTTACTATACTTATAAGTATGGTCATCTTTCCTACTTATAAGTTTGATAGGTATGATTTTTAAATATACGTATAAGAACTTAAAGTTGTCTTACGCTACCCCTTTTATATTTCATACTATACTACTTTATATATTACTCATAAAAAGGGGTTCACTATTCTAACTATTACCTTTACTCCTATAAAAAAATTCGAGACTTCCTTCAGATTATCATTCTGAAAAATACTTATTTTTCTGGAACAAACCATATATAAATTCCTGGTTATTTTCATATAATCCTGATGATTTCTAGATACAAATTAAATCCGGGTAATATTCTGGTTCTAATTTTGACGAAGTGCAAAATATTAGAATTCGAATATTATCCAAATTTGTATCCAGAAATTACCAGGATTATACGAAAACAACCAGGAATTTATATATTTTTTGTTCTAGAAAAATGAGCATTTTCCAGAACGATGGTCTGAAGAAAGTCGGGATGTTTTTTCAAAATTTTTTATAGAGATTAAGTTAGGGTTAGCAAATCACAGAGACAAGTTACAATAAGAATTCGTATGGTATTGTATCGACTGCTGAACTGTTATTAGTTGACATGGAAAATAAGATATGGGTCAGTCCGTACCGTTATGAGTATTCGGGCTATTTTAATCAAACTTTGATAATTCATTGGGTCATATTCTTGAGCAGATGCTCTACCGTCTTGTCACGTAGTATCGTATAGCGATTTATTACAATTCCCGTTCAAAGATTTTAATATCTTAATTTACCCATATGCAAATTTTATTACATCATATGAATTTGACGCCATTTTTTATGACATGTACCACCAATCATTGCATAACGATAATTTATTATATTTGAACCTGTAATCGGGATTTCGATTCCAAAGATCACGTGTAAACTACATTGTTCGTTTCTCTGTCCTTTCCCAGCTATATATTAAATTTTTTTTTTTTACTATCATATTTCCAGTTCTATGCCCCTAACCAAGAATATCGCATTCCTTTTTTTTTTTTTTTTTTTTTAAACCTGCATACTTGTTTTCACTGTGACAATATTATTATAACTATGTACTATAGTCGAGACTATATTGATTTTATGCCCAAACTTAAACAACTTATGTCTTTGCGACATATAAAAAGATAAAGTTATAAATCCTGCCATACAGACGCGTCCATCTATTTCTTGATTGATTTTTTTTTTTTTTTCCATTCTACAAGAAGTTCACCACGAGAAATTTTTGGCTTTTTATTTTTATTTTTTTTGACCATTTGACTTATACTGGTTTACTAATCTTAAATGTTCTAGAGGATCGATATCATCTTGATTTTCGGTAATATTGGCATTAGAAGATGTTTGTTTCGATAGCTGTTCAAAAACAATATATGTTTGTTGATTCTGATTATAATATTTTTGACCCATTTAGAATTTCCTAAAATTTTTGTTAAAGTTGAATAGGCTGATTCTCCATGAAATCTACATTTATATGTTCGTGGGTTACTACGTAGAAAACTGATGAATATGTCCAGCAAAAATACCAACAAATAGACTTTCGGTGCATGGAATTGATAAAACTTTTCATCCCATTCTGGTAAAGCTTAATGGTAAATGACGATGTATTTGTTGAATTAAAATATCTTTAAATTCTTGTAATGAACTGTATCAAGATCACTATATGGTATGTTGTACTTTTTAATCGTGTTATAATGCCGTTTGAGACCACTTTCAGACTTGAAATTCCGAAGACAAACAGGGAGAAAACAGAAGGTTTGAAGTAGATGCTATACTTTGAAAAGTGGATTGTAAACATAATTTAAAAATTTTTTTCTTTTTTTTAAAGAAAATTAACCGGAGACTTATATTAATACCTAATAATGTCTTTTATTTATCGTTGTATCAAAATCACTTAACCAAATACTACTAGCACCACAATAAAACAATTTGGTGTCAAACGACCTGACCTACCATCAGAAATTTTTAGGGTACTAGCTGCATGCCGCAAATTAGCCCATATGGACAGTCACACTGCGCGAACATATGTATAAAGCCCGAAAGTCAGCGTATTTAACATATTTAGAAAACACAGCCAGTCGATTGGAGACAAATTATTAATTATACTTTTTTAGCTCAAATAATCCAATTGGTCGTTAATTAAGTGCATTATCTAATTTTATTGCGTTACCAAACCTGACTAGTTTTGGATAGTGAAAACAAAAATCTTTTTAATATACCAAAGTAATTAGACATTGAATTAGTTAGAAACAACCTAAAAAATTACCGAATAAAAGTCAAAAATAAGTTTATAATTCTCAGAAGTAATTTGTACAAGAAACACCTTATACAGTATCTTGGAAAATAAAATTATTGTAAGTAAGCGAAATCATGTGTTCTTGAATATCACTAGAAAGATGCAAACAATGGCGTAAAACGTCTGATTTTCCAAAAAGAATTTTTCTAAATTTTAGGTCATACTGCATGAAATACTGGCCGACAGGTTTCGCAATGTAAACAATGATGAGTGCAGGTGATAATAAAGAACTAAAGAACATAAATACGTAGCATATCATCACATCATGGATTACGGGTGCAGCTCAAAAAATTTTATCAGCTTTATCGACCAAGATTGAAAAATAAAATAAATTCATTCATTCTCATAAGATGATAATGTTTTCTTATGAATTGTTGTAATATATTTCTTGCAATGGCTCAATTTATTTTATTTACATATATTTACATTTACTGATCAGACCTAGATGTCTGAATTAAAAAACAAAAAAAAAAAAAAACAATTTTTACAAAAAAAAAAAAAAAAAAAAAAATGTAGACTATAAATTTTTTTAATGTGAATATTCATATAGCAGTCGTTGTAAATATTCATATAGCAATCGTATCTCTATTATGAAGTAAAAGAAAGGTCCCAAATATTAGATAATGAAAGTTCAAATTATTAATGTTTCGTAAGTACCTGAAAAGAGCCTCCGCCTCTGTTGCAAGAAATTGATATATCTCCTTAACATGACTTCGTTCTTGGGACCAAAATCTGCTGGCAACAATTGAAAGTAGATTGCTTTGAAGATTGATATTTTGTGAACTTGCAATCATACGACAGTAGATTTTATATGCATGAAAGGCTTTAAGACGCGTGTAATTTGCATTAGAACCTATTGCCGAGACAAGATCCCGAGCCACTATTGTGGGGGGATATGGTGGCCTTAGGTTGTTCATTCGGAACAATTAACACCTTTATACTCTTTTTTTGTTTTCCTATGTTTCTTTTTTTTTATTTTTTTTTTCTTAGAGCTTTGAAAGCCAAGGGTAAGAGAGGAATCGGGCCAATATTTTATATGGAATGTAAATATGTGACATTTGCGTGTTGCTGTATCAATAATGCTATCAACAGTAAATAACTCAACAAATAATACTTACAGTAATGGCAACGACTGATAGATATTAAACTTTATTGATTGTTATTGAGACAAAAAAAGAAAAAAAATTGGACAATGAACAATTAATGACTATTGTAATTCACCAAGATGTTTTGGATATTGACGGTTATCTGACATTTCAATAGCTGATAAAGTGTTCGTACGTACGTACGTATCTGGTATGTTACCAGTTACTGTACGTACGTGTCATTGTTGATGCTATCAGCTATATAAATATACTGAAAATTGTTACCGAATGTAGCAACAGATTATCTTTTAATCATTGTGTTAAAATATTCATCACATATGTTTAAATATTGCATAAATTTTTATGTTCAAGCTAAGACTACAATTTTATTTTGCTTTTCATATCGATGTAGCCATGGGATTGTGTGGTTTTTTATTATTGACGAATAAATTAAAAATCAGGCGATCATACCCAGTTTTAGCAATATTCCTAGATACTGACTTAATTGCGATAGGAGGTTGCTCGAGTAATACAATCCAAAAAGGAACTTAAATCATTGTGAAGATAAAATTTAGGGTTAGGGCATTAGCTTTAGCAAGGACTATATGTAAATTTTCATTTTGTTGAAAGTCCGGAAAAAAACACTAACAAGAAAAAAAAGACTTTTATCATTTTTTATTAGTGCTCCAAAGTCGATTTAAACATTAGTTTTCGAGTAATTCCATTTTTTCTTCTTCCGCACGTGTTCATATTCTATATTGGGCTGATGATATATTTTCATTGCACCGACACCAACGCCGACACCACGAACTAAACATTTACTAATTTACACTTAGCGGAGTATTTATATTATTAATGTACTCTTATAGTGAAGTTATGGGAGAAATTAGGGCACCCAGCATGGCCACCCAAATCAGTTAAGTACGGAGTTTAAATTTTTTTCGCAAATCTAAATATTTATACGTACTCAATATTGTTCATCTTGTCGTACAACAAAACTTTCCGAAAATAATAACTTATTAGTATTCTGTACTTAAATCATATAATGAGGGGAAAAAGAGAAAGCGTGAAGAGAAAATTATCGTAGATCAGAAAAGACACAATAGAGCTGAAGAATTTGAAAATATTGTTTATGAAAAGCTTATAGAAGTAGAAGATAAAATGAATCCAGCATGTCGGTACATCTCAAAGATAATTTTTATTACGTACTATTATTATGTAATATATATACTGTATATTTACAACGTAATTCACTATTGAACATGAAGAATTCATATGGTAAACTATCAAAACATTAGTATAAAATAACGGAAAATTATACATTACAGCGCGTTTGTGAAATACCCAAAATCTAAAAAACCATGTTATTGGGTCATGTTATTAATGACAATTGATGATTTATTTACAGCGGATGCTACGTCATAATGGCTGCCATTATATCTTAGCATCCTATAAATAATCAGTTACCATCAACAATAAGTCCCAAGTACTTATTAGAGTAGTATGACTGACCAATTTAATTGATAATACATATCAATGCACTTGTGTTATTTGTGATTTAACCTATGATATAGTTAGGGGAATATTGTTGTTAGACGAAAGGCGAAACCTAACCTCTTGAATGACAAAACTCTTGACGAACTCTGACAAAACCACGAAACCCTGACGAAATCGTGAAATTCCTAACGAACGGTGAAACTCCCTGACGAAACTGTGAAGGTGAAATCTGACAAAGATAAGTCTCCGCGAAAACAAAATTTCTGGTAAATTATTAAATTCTGCGCTATAGTTTGTAGGCTAATTCACTATTCCTCTGTAAAGCTTTAAATTTCATGTGTGTATCGTAATGATGTTGCTCAATCATTGTAATTAATTAAAGATCTTTCGCATTCCCAATTTTTGTATTGGCTGGATTAACTTAGAACTTTTAAATATGAGCATGCGATTGAGTGGATTCCATTGGATAGATTATCTAATATTACAGAAATTT